ATTTAAAAAATCTACAATTATCTACATTATTCTGTACAAAAAGAAAAAATCAAGCATGCCACGTTGATTTTGATCTCTAGATTATAATTTTTCCAATATAAATATTAATAATCCTCATTCCAAATTTTCAATTTATATAATTATATAAATAAAAAAAAACATCTCGATACATTGCTCTAGAATAATTACTATAATTTTACATTGCTCTGAATTGATATGAAATAAAGACAAATAAATACACGTTTACTTATATATTTAATACTGTAATATTACTCAAATATTGCTTTTTCACAATCGTTAACATCATCATAATCAACCTACATAAAGCCTTTTCCAGGGTACACCACTGATCTTCAGCTCTTCGCTTCCAATTATTATTACCAGCCACACTGCGCATGTCATCTCTCCGCCTAACACTGGTCGTTCTAAACCATGTTTATCGGTTCGCATAGTCCACTTTATCATAGTACTTGAAAATGTTTAATGTTTAAAATAATTGAAAAGCTTAAGTTAACCACTCCAGTGTTTAGTGCTTACAGTACATAAATTTTATTTATTTATTTAACCGTATGGTATATCAGTGGTTCTTATAATTATGAGGTAGCAATGTTATTATTTTCTTCATCCAAGCATATTTGATAGCATCATTTTTGAGGTTGAATAAATCTGCATTATTGCTTTTATATATATATATATATATATATATATATATATATATATATATATATATATATATATATATATATATATATATATATATATATATGCACTTCTTTGTACATAATGCTTTTCTTTAATATCTCGGCAATGACAATATTATAAATGTAGGATTTTAAAGATATTTGGATATTTGTTAGTTAATTACGCTTAAATAGCTAGACGGATTTGATTGAACTGTGGAGATTATATACTAACGTAACACATGGATACATGGTATTATCTGCTGCATATACCTTTAAAATAATTTACATTGTCTTCTCAATAATAGCTTACGTTTTATTTTTAATCTTCATAAGTATGACCATAACTCTCCCTATCGTACTTAGTTTAAGTGGCTCCCCTATATAACAGCGTAGAATTACAAGCATACTATGTACTCTGCATTACATTTCCGACTACCTTAAGTGTAAATTTCAATTTCACTTAAGGTAGTCACAATATTCACTACCAATTGTTGTGTTCATACTTGCAGGAATCTTCTTCTTCACATGCTGCTCGTCGTACTGGCTTCTTTTCCTATCCGCCGTTCAGGCTATTAAACACAGGAAAGCACTCCCGCTTGACATAAGACTACTTAACTTGACTATCCTAAGCAAACTAACTTTTAAACATAAATTACGCTCCTTTTTTCTAAAAAAAAGGTCGATTTATAAACTTCATTGTCTTTTCTCAATTTCCCTTTAAACTTAACCTTTCTAGTTACTTTGTCTGAGACACAGATTGTTTTCTTTATTTTTCTAATTTGATGTATCAATATTTTACGCATTTAATATATGTTATATATTTATATTACATATTTTGTGTATGTTCTATAATACTACTTTATGTTTTCTCAATTCATGAATACACTGCCTTCCTATTTCTCCGTTTGCCAAATAACTGAGTGGTTCATTAAAGTTTAAATAAATAAACACTTTATATACCGATTCACGTGGGTAAAACCGAGGGAAACATAACAGCTAATAATACGTAATGCTTACCTAAATAATGTGGACGCCGATATGTTAACGTTCACGTATCACCGGTAATAATTAATGAACTCAATGTTATTAATAAAACATAACGTTAACATTATAAGGTAGATACAGTGAAGCAACATGCATTGTTAATCACTTGCGAAACATGTAATTAGAAGCTGACTATAACACGATCGGTAATCTTAATTTTATTAAATTTCAATTTAATTAATTCAAACAAGCTGACCCTGTAAATGTCTCTTTACCACCTACTATCGCTTACATACCGGTTACATTTTTTTTCTTATCGGAGTAAAAACTATTCTATCTTTCAAATTGGAGCGAACAATATACATCTTGCCGTGTGTTCCCGGCATAGAATAGACAACCCCTTCCTTTCCCGTGGATGTCGTTAGACTTGACTAAGAGAGGGCGAGGGATGGACAGCAGCGTCCCTCTTAAAACATCTCTAAAAGCCTACCTGCGGTTGCCAACCTACCTGCCAAGCGTGGTTAATACTGGCAAAACTCCCCTTATGGGAAAGGCTTATGTTCAGCAGTGGACACTTAACGGCTGAAATAATAATAATTATAACAAAATGTACATTTACAAAACTTTATTAAAATCGATTGAGCGGATTCGGAGATTAGTGTGAACGAATTTTATATATTGAGATATGAACAAAACCCATTTCAGTATTGATTAGTGAGCTTGCCTGCAATCGACAGGCGTGCAGGCGGGTTCTTTAATACATTATTGGTATAAAGATAGATAAAAAAGACGTGTAACGAAGAAGGTGTAATGACCTGAAATCTAGCAATATTATTTGTGAAACTGGATAACTTTTTTTAAGAAACATCAATTGAAATTTTAGATTAACAAATATTTGGACAAAAAAAAAAAATTTTTTATGGTGTCGTGAGAGTGAATATAGGATAGCATTTTTTATACAACATACGTAGTGTGGCAAGCAAGTTGAAACTGGTAACTATAGATGGTAAAAATAGCACCATGAATATCTGTATAGCTCATGGTACCCCTTACGTGTTGCCATTCCTGACAACTAAGATTTTATGCCACTGTGTAATTTTACTGCCATATCCCTCTAAAACGAGTGGCGTGTAGGGATTTTAAGTCATGGGGATGCTAACCCCCATTGATAGCGATATACCCTGTCAGGTCGATCTCTACGCGATTTCCCCTGGTAACTATCGCGAATAATTCTTGTTGAATCAATCACAATTGCCTACTTAACCTGGTTTCATCCTCTCCTATCACCATTCACGGGTGCCCCGCCAGCGTATGCCGGTAGCGCAGGCGGGATTACCATTCCATTATCACCCATCAAGAACCCTCCAAAAGGAAACATTCTCAGACAAGCATTTTTACTTAACGTCGTAAATAGGAGTGGATCATACCCATGCCGATTACTATATATATATATATATATATATATATATATATATACACTATTGAATATCAATAATACTCATAACTTCCTTCGTGTGACCAGGATAAATAATATACCTTGACAGAACGTGTCTTAGACTACTCAAATAACAGAAATGGAAGGTAGATTTTGCGAATGTGAGCTCACACAGAAGCTTACGTATTTTTTACATATGACTGCCAAAGTTGCGTTTCCTCACTCTCTTCTCCTTTTTGCTAATACCTGCTAAATAGATCTTACCTAAGACCAATATAAAAAACTTGAGCGTCTCCATAAGAAGTTTGGACTTCGTAAGTTTCGCGCTCAGCTCAAATGAATCCTAATACATTGACGCCATGATTGGCACATACTTTCTCTTCTTTATTCTATTTTATTCAATCCTCTCACGCCTTAAGGAGAGATTTATATTTCTTCGCTTCGCTTCGTCATGCTTCGCGTACCACGAATAATCTTCATCTAAAAAGCCTTTCACATACTTGTACTATACTAAATCCTTTTCCATTCAGGCTTTGCGTCTATGGAACTCATTTTCTTTTCTCGCCTCTGGAATTCACAGCAAGTTCCAGAGGTTCTAAATGATGCTAAGGACTGGGCATTATAAAAATATAAAATAGTAGCCTATGCCCTTCTCCATCTCACATAATACGTGTGTACCAAATTTCATGATCATTGGTTGAACCCCTACAGCGCTAAATGTTAACAAAATAACAAACAAATTCAACGAAATAAAAACATTCTTGAATTCCCTACTTTAATACGTTTTCTAATTGATTGAGCTGTTTTAAATTACTTATATTAAATCATAATCGTAATAGCAAATACCGTAGAGATGTTTTCTAGTAGAAGCGTGCCTATAACATTACGAGGGGTGGAAAATGTCAAGGTAGTGCAGTTATTTTAGTTCCTCCTCCACAGATACGCCCTTGAAAGACCCTCGCAGTGGTGCGGAAAACAGCTTCACGTAGTTAAAACCATTTGAACTATTTATTATTTACTACTTATATTCCTCAACTTCTCCCGCATGAATCAGTACATAAAGTAAATAATCCTATGTGTTAAGTTAGTATATAGCCTACTCATGTGCCAAATTTCATACAAATCCGTTCAGTAGTTTTTCCGTGAAAGTGTAACAAACATTCATTCATCCTTACATATTTTTACATTTATAACATTAGTAGGATTTAATCATATATATCAAAAATTTTAAATTTTGTACGCGTAACTAGGATATATTTCCTAACTGGGACAAAAATATACCAAGTTTTATAGTAATTACTTAAACTATAAAAACATTAAGAGGTAATAAACAAACATTCACTTTTACATTTATAATATTAATAGGCATAGTACATTATTATAATGTCCAAATACAACTTGCCTTTATCCTTATAACATTTGATTATTAACGTACGATTGGAAATAACTACTATTTGTACGTATTTATTTTATTATTATTCTTTTGTCTGTTATCTACCACAAATGGTTAGAATTATATTAATGATATATATAATGAATGATATACACATTATATCTCTTGGAATTGATGAAAATATTGAAGATTATTATTTTATAATTATATTAATAATTAAATTAAACTAAATATGCACAGACCAAACATTTATTCATGACTAGCTTTTTGCCCGCTACATCATACGCGTGACTAATGAAAACCAATTAAATAAACCATTTCTAGATGCTATATTAGGTTTAAACATACTCCAGTTGTCAAATTACACCTTTAGGGATGCAACTGTAAATACTGCGTCCAATTTTATGCAGTAGTTTTTATGTGATACCAGAACAAATATACCAACAGACGAAATTTTAAAAAATATATTTTTTTTTACCTCTATTAACTTATTAAGACACCTCATATATTTTTTTCTCAAATATCTCCCACATAAAGACTAGTTACAATTTTATTATATTAGTATGATGTCACAACCTTTTGTATCCAATCCAGATTAGAGAAAACGTCCATGTAAATTGTAATACAATTTTTATGTATGTGAACATTTTTGCAGCTAGCCGACGTGACGCCAATAAGACGGCCCCTCGATATTAAAGATCCACCTGAATCTCCAGATCCCGCCCTCACTGTATCAATTGAGCAAATAAGTCCATCTACGTCGTACGGACATTGAGTTAATTTGGTAGTACCTTCTCGAGGATATGCCACATAATCTTCAGAAGCGCCATATCCAGCGATTACTGCTGATTGTCCGATCTGTGGTGGTGTTTTCGTTAATTTCACTGGTTGTATGGAAGCACTGAATTTAATCGGGCATTTAGTCTTTATCAAAGCAATATCGCCTGGTTTATCAATAACCGATGCGTCTCCAGATACAAAAGAGGGATGTATATGAATATCGCTCCGATCTACTTGAGCAATCTTTCTTAGTCTGTCCTCGGTTTGACGAAACACAGTTACACGCTTGACATCTGTTTTGAAGCAATGCGCTGCGGTTATTATCCATGAATGGTCTATTATGGAACCACTACAGAGACTCGGGTTACTTAAACGTCGATGCACTTTGAGTTGCACTAAATATTTATGCACTTCAAATCTTATGTCCTGACCATCAAATACACGCGAATCTATTGCAATTATTGTATTCACAAAACAAGAAAATAATATAATCAGTAAATAATTTTGATTATACATGACTGTTTAAGTCAAATGCTTACAATAAATAAACAATAATTATTGACATTTACTATAAAGAAATTTATTATATAGCTCCATTGTATTCGAAGTATGAAGCAAATGAATGCCACTTTTTGATAATTATACAATTAAAATATTTCTAGAATAATGCGAAAAATAGTTTCAAGAAGTTATACACATATGTATATTTCCTCATTACTAATGTAGCATAAAGCAGGAAATAAGGTCTATAATTTTATTTAAAAGTGTAACATATACTTGCACCATAACACCCGATGACTTATTTGAACTACGCCAAAGGGCTCAAAATCCTATTAAAATCATAAGCCCAAAAATCAACAATTGTATGTGACGATCTATATATTATTTGTTGAAATATGAACATAAATTTTTTACTTAAAAACGACTTAAATTAACAATGATTTTAATCACAACAAAATATCCTCATGAACGACGAGATGTATCGAAGACAAATTAGACTGAAAATATTGAAATTTGGATTTTCTTTTTTATAACAGGGGACAAAAGAGCATTTCACTCGTATGATGGTAAATGACCACCGCCGTTCATTAATACCCGCAACATCGAAAGAATTGCAAGTATGAAAAAGATTATGCTCTTTTCTTAAAGTTTATGATTAAAAAAGACTGCTTTTGTAAATTGATTCCAAAGTATGATTGTGTGCGGAAGAGAGTGCCTTGGAAAACGCACAGTGCAATATCGCCACTCACCAAAAGGTTGGAATTTTAGATACAAGTCTGTACCGGCACTCATCGGTATGAACACGCGAATTGTTTGCATGACCTTTACTGTTATATATAATGCATCCCCTGTACTATTGCTGACATAGCAATGTTGCATAAAATGCAGAAGTGTGTGTCTACGAATAGATTTTCTTCGCTCAGAAAGTAGGATTTTGCTTCACAAATAAAAATGGCGACATCGATCTTTTAAAAAGTAATATGGAGCCGACAATAGAAAAATGTATCAATCAGAATCGACGATTGTGTAACATGACTACTAAGAAATAAATGAATTGAGAAGCTTCTTCTTTTGAAAGCCCCTTAAAAACAAGAATAATGACAAGACTGAAAAATATCGATCCGATAAGTATTTAATTGCTCAGCATAAAAGTTAAGGCACTATATAATCTCAGGAGAAATGTCTAACTGCGTACGTAAATATTAAACGTTGCTATATCTCGACAATACAAATTATTAAAAAGTTTACTTTGGTAGTAATATATAGTATATATATAGTATAATAATATATATATAGGTAGTAATATATATAGGTAGTAATATATATAGTAGCAACTCCCTGTAGAGTTCTGAGAGGGCATAAACACCATACTCATTAAAATAATTAAAACATTTTCATAACATTTTCACTTTTAATATTATTATAAAATACTTGTACTGTATAAAGTATCTGCAATAATCTTAAATAAAATTCGATTAACAGCATTTAATAATATTTTATTTTAAAACATGCTTTGAAAAATTACAATATATTTAACAATTTTACAAGTTATACTAATTTGTTTTAATGTTTGCAATAGTCCTACAAACATTTCAGTTTTTATAGAGAATGAAAAAAATAATAATAGGATTGGATAATTTTTACGAATTAATGAACAATAGCATTCGGAAATAAAAGTTATCAACCAGTATGTTTGGCCTGCCACGACTATCACACTTGGACTGGACAGTCCGACACTTACATATTTAAATGACGGTCAAAGCTATATTTGGAATTTCCTTAAGGGATATAAACCAGAACGAGGAAGTTTGGCGTGGAACTAGAATGGTTCGTACAGCTCTCAAAGTTTGTCAGCTGAAATAGTCCTACGTCGATCATATTAGTCGAGTTAACGTTAGTAGGTGATAAAGGAAGGTCTTGGAGTGCAAGTCGCGTACAAGATGGAGTTTAGTGTGCTCTCCATCTAGGTAATCTGATGATATTAGTAAAACAGCCGGGATTCATGTAGAAATGAGAGATCTCATATGTTATAAAGCATGGGGGCAGACCCATGTTCAGCAATGAATAGTTACAGGCTGAAATGAATACATGATGAACCTCCTTCAAGTTTGCTAGTAATTATGCAATTATCCTACTTTATTTTTATTTTTTCATTTTAAATAGAGACATAAAAATTGTGTTACAATCCAAACTATTTCTATTACATACAAACTATCTATACATATATATACATACAATCTATATGTTGTCATGCTACTGAAGTATTATAGATAGGTATATATTTAATTTAGCAATTCCATAATGTACAAATTTTAATTAGTTATAAAGAAAATGGTTACTTTCCTATCCTGTCTGGTAATTCCAAAGGAAAATAAGGAACACATGCTTTATTAATTTCCCGAATAGTAAAAAACAGTAAAAGGAAGTCAAACATGCCGCCGACCGATTACGGTGAAGAAGAGGGTCCCTAATCTTAACGCATACATACAGTTAATTTAACTACAGGAGATTAATATTAACAAACGATACACGAAGCAGAGGCCGCTCTACAATGGAAATGACAATATAGCGAGGATAAAGTCCGGCCCCTCGCAAAGGCCGGTCTTTTCGGCAACATCGGACTCCCCGAAGAAAGCCTTCCAAGTATGCTATATATACGAAGACGAACGAAAAATTTCGATAGCGCGTTTCAGATGCAAGTCTCCGATTGGTGTTCACCAGTAATTTGGTTTCGTGCCGTTCCATTCAGTGCTCGTGAGCAGCAAAAAACGTGCATCCGAGGCCATAGCTCGGAAACGGTAGTGGTTAACGGTACTGCAAATTGTTGAGATAGCATATTGTTACATACGAGTAATTTAAAGAGAATACATACATGTCATTTTAATAGTTATGAAATATGTAGAAATATATTAAAATAAAATCATATTCATATATCTCGTACCTCCAGCGCAATACTGAGGCCAGTGCCCTTATTATTTTAATAATATTTATAATAAACCGATATACAATTAATAAATTGTAAACTATTTGATGTTATTAATTAAAAATAAATACGTTTAAAATATATACAGTAAAATCTCAATTACCCCAATAATTGAATATCCGGATTTATTCTTCACGACTCTAATTACCGATTTAAGAATAGTATTATGTAGATATTAATTATCTTTATAACTAGTAATTTTTTTATATCGTATTGTCTAAATGACATATGTGAAACCCTTTACATAATAAACCAATATAAAATATAATTACATATATTCAGATTTGATTTTGAAATTGATTATCCGGATTTTCGATTATATGGAATATCCTTGGTTTTATTCGATTCAGATAATCGAGATTTTACGGTATTTTAAAATTGCAATCCCTTCGCGATGTACCTAATTTTTTATGAGTCAAAGCAATAAAATATTACATGAATTATACATTTATTTTATTAAACGAACAAAAAATATACGATAATATCGATATTTTTGTTAGTTAAAATTTTTATAAAAACATGTATGTGTTTGTAAATGTAAGAAAACAATAACACGTCAATAATTTTTTATTACATATTTATGACTAATTTGATAATTGGATTTTAACACCTGATTTATCCACCACAAGTTATAACAAATACTGGCGTAATAAGTTAAACTGGTATTTATAACGTTTGCAGAAGTTACACCAACCAGTATTCCAGACGCAATCAGGGGTCCTCCTGAATCTCCACTCCCTCCCTGTGCTTTTCCTTTTGTGCACATTAATTGAATATTATCATTCCAACACTTTGATATACGGACTTGACCTTCACGTGGTGCAGTCAAACCGGGTTCAGACTTTCCATATCCCGCAATGTTGCCATATCGGTTAAAATTTTCCCAACATCCTATTGTTATAGGCTGCACGTATTTATTAAATTGTATGCGATGAACAGTCTTCACTAAAGCAATGTCAACCAAAATATGTTCGTTGGTAAGTATACTATCATTAACAGTTCCTTTATCAAAATGAGGATGTGTTAAGACACAATTTGCCTCTGCTATCTGTTTCTTGATGTTTACATGATGAAATATCTTGGCATTCACTTCATCATTGAAGCAATGGGCAGCAGATATTATCCAAAATCTGCTAATGATCGAACCACTGCAAGTAAATAAAGTGTTCTCCTGTTGTATCTCCAATTTCACCAAATACTTGTGGACATTTCGACGTAAATCACGACCATTATATACTCTATTTTCCAGATTGTAACTAAACGTAATAAACGAAAAAAAGAAAAACATAGAGTAAATCAACTTTAAGGTGATCATTATTTGATTAGATTTATATGTCCAATGAAGTAAATGTTTATCATCTAATTTTTTGTAGCGTAGGTACTTATTGATAAATTCACAACACATTCTTGTTATATTTATGTTCGGTAAATGGTATTTATTTTACTACCACATATGTAAATTATTTAAATGATAATATTTTACAACATTACTAAATACTAGCTCTTGTCTGCGGATTCAGTTATGCTAATTTGCTCATTTCTTTTACCAGCTTACTTTCTCTTGATTTGATTTAGAGATATGCTATAAGAATTGTTGACGATGACAGGTTAACAAGTAATATCGAATCCCTTTTGGTAATTAAAATATAAATTTAAATAAAGTTTAATTAACATTGTGTTTTGAAGAACATGATCTGCGACATGATGCCTTTTACCCTTTACTTTTTACCATTACTCCGCTGGTCATCGGTAGGAATCCATTCTTACACTCTAAAACTAAAATGACAGTATGATTTCATAGGAGTTTCCTCCTGCGAACGCTCAAGTTGTAGAATGACCTTCCTGTCGAGGTTTTCCCTAGAGACTGAGGTTCTTAAAAAAGGGCGTAATAAAGTTTCTTAAGGATAGGCAACGCACACGTGATAACCCTGTTGTTATGTGTTCATAGGCTACAGTGCCCCCGTTTGCCTTCAGAGGGACGTATGCTTGTTTGCAATCATTATAGTATAAAAGAAATTTGTGTAAAAGAAGTCTTTCTCTTTCTAAAATGTATTTATTTCTTTCTCTCATTATTTTTCTAAGTCTGATTCGCTAAAGATCAGCATAAACCTGATAAACATTTATTAGATTTATGGTTCTTATATTTGATGCTACATATATACAAAATAAGTGTGTGTATTTATCTATTTTTTTTATACAACTTAGAATGGCAAACAAGCTGACGGCCCATCTAATGGAAAGTGGCAACCGTCGCCTATAGACATGAACAGTACCATGGACATTACAGAGTGTACTGTTTCGCCCATGATACTCCCTATGCGTTGCCATTCCTGAGGACTCAGGTGTTATTCGTCTGTACCCAGTAAATTCAACAGTAAAAAATAAATATTACAGGCACAACAAATATATGTGACTAACTTTTCCACACATCTTTGTCCACGTGAGCAAGATATATTCATTAATCCGTATAAAAGGTAGACAATCAGTACAAAAATTGATATAAAAGTGTTATTAAATATAGAATGAAATTGGCACTACCTGTGACTTAGCTGTTATTCTTCTGTATCCTGTAAATTCACTACCGTATCCCACCCTTCAAACCGAAACACAGCCATGCAAACATAATTACTTCACAGTAGAAACACAAATGGGATAGAGGTATCCAAGCTAACGACTTTTGTGCAAAGTTTCTCTCATGGTCATATGTTAGCGTTTGAACCGAATCGCAGCCGAGCAAAGTCGATTGACGGTAGAAACACAAGGGGAAAAATACCCAAGACAACATCTTTTTTTTTTTAATTTCAAATACTGATGAAATTATAATAACAATTCTTGGTCACGCGGACGAAGTCGCGAGTTAAGACTAGTTGTATTATAATTGTTTCACGTCTACTCCATTACCTTCTCGTAGCGCAAGATGTGATTTGAATCTTGATAGAGTAGGAAGATGTCGGAATCTTTTGATTTAGTAACAAGATTCAACCCTTTTCTTGTGATGGATGGGATCTCATGTAAATTCTGCTGCATACCTAATCTTACTCCTAAATCATAAGTAGTACCTCTCTAATGTGCTATTCATTTTAGAGTATGTATTAACTTTTAATATAAAACTTTGTCTCCAACTTTCTGTGCATGAAATATACACCATATTTTAAGTAAGGCCTTTAAGAACACAGCCACATTCAATTCAATGCAGTAGTTTTTGCGTGATATCAGATTAAGATACAGACAGTCAAAATTTCTAAACATTTTTATTTTGGCCTCTTATGGTCTTATTAAGGCCGTTCATATTTTTTTTTAAATATCTATCATGTACAGATATTTTATTACATTAGTAAGATTTCTATCAACTATTATAATAATTCAAGTTGTTACTATTTAGAAAACGTTATCATTCTAAAGTTTATTTTCTTCTCTAAGTTCATGCTGAAAAAATAAAACTCTTATAATCCGTCCTCTTTCATCCATAGCGGTATGTTTCAAGAACCATAGATGCTATTAGTTTGAAATATAAATCAATATCAAAAAATTTGACGTTCATAAGCGGCTAAAATGTCCTACATGAATAAATGATTTTTGAATTTGAATTTGAATATTAAATAAAATGGACTTTACGCTGATATAGCTAGTCTTTTACATAAATAAATCACTTTCTTTACCTAAACATTCTACATCTTTTGCCATGTGGTCCCGGTATAGAATAGGTCATCCCTTCCTTTCCAGTAGGTGTTGTAAGAGGCGACTGACTGAATTTAATGATCGAGAGATTGGTTGCAGTGTCCCTCTTAAAACGTCAACAAAGCCAACGTTGCCAAGCTGCCTACCAAGCGTGGCAACTATTGGCGAAATCCCCCAAGAGGGAACCCTACGTTCAGCAGTGGACACAGCGATTTATATGATAATGATAATTCTACGTCTACGTATTACTTGATCTATTTATGTCAACTTATGTATATCTTTATGCTTAAGAAACGTTACTCCACTCCGTAATCTACTTGACAGGTAAATCAAAGAACTCTGAAAAGACATTTGAATTAATCATGAGAAGTTCCACGGCTTCATCTTGTTTTCATCAAACGAATGGAACGTCAAACAAGTAGACGTGTTCAAACAAACATAAAGGCTGGCTATGTACAGAAACTTACCTACCGCTTAATGTACTTATAGCTTTATCACGGAGACATAATGTTTATTTTATTTCAGCCCGAACTAATCACCTGGAAACCTTTTTTAAAAGTCCCATATTCTAGGTAAAGATAAAAAAAGAAAACTAATAACAAATTTCTGGTGAATTAAATATTGTTTTAGTTCCGTATTATTTGAAAATATTTTTAATAAATATTTTATCTATATAAATAAAACTGTATTACTGAATGTGTTGCTAAAAACAAAATTGGAAAAGAGCAAAAGTTAAAAAATAATTCTAAAAAAATTAAAACTCTTATTTCTCTTTTTCTAATACAAACTGTTCCTTACCAATCCTTAACAGGTCGACAACCAATCGTTATGAAATTTGGAATTTAATAATAATTTTCAATGTCTATACATATATACATATGTAATGGAAAATTAATGAACTCACCGTGTTTGCCATTTCCGACAATTGTTTCGTGTTCATCCGGAAGTCTTTTTCAAATGACGTACGGGGCATTGTTTCAGAAACGGCAAGTTCGTTGATTTCTCGTTATATATGTATATAGACATCGTATTTAAAAATAACCATACGTTATAAAAATAATAAAACAATTTTCAGTTATTTTTCTGAAAACATTAAAAATTCTAACATCATCTAGATTATCATCTTAGCTCATCTGGCGAAAATGGAAAAGAAATTTAAAGGCGAAATCCAATTACAATTTCCATGAAAAAAAAAGATATTGTATGACTGCTGAACGTATACCTACTCATGGACGCTAAAAGCCCGCAGTTATCATTTGTGGTACAGAGGTACAGAGTATTGCCATGTGTCGCAATGTAACTAGGATGTCCTGATCTTCAGAAATTTAAAATCACTATTATTAAAAATAATATGTTATTATTCTAGTCCTTTAATTATTAATACGGTACAGTAAGATAGATAATGTTGTTATGTAATATAACTCGAATGTTCTAATTTCCCGCAATTTTAAATAAATATATATCATTTTTTTAGTTTCCTAATTACTAAAATTTGTAGTAAGTGCATAGTGTTGCCATCTACCACAACGTAACTTGGATGTATAAAAATTTAAAATGCCCTATTACAGGAATCATATAGGATTTGCACAACTAAAATTAAAAGACCTTTCACGATGAGGGTATTATTTTAATAGGCTAGTTCATTACAGTAAGTTATAAAAAAAATCCTATTATGATTCGTATACAGCGGGTTTTAAAAGCCCCCTAATATTTGAAAAAATAACATTATAAATAATTAAATTTATCGCACGGTAAGTTTTTGCTAGAAAAATACCTTTGAGTAAAAATTTGTGTCCTTTTAATATTTTATTACTTCAGAAATATTACCGATAATTTTCATGTGAAAACTTTTCTATCCCACGAATGACGTAGAGAATTTGGTAATACTACCTGCTACACGTACTTAATTTCCATTTTAATTGAATTCAACGGATGAATAAATTTTTAAAAAGCCTTTACGACAGTCCGGTGCCCGGATAGTTTCGTCTGCGTTTAATTTTGACTCAACGTAAATAAATTTTGTTAATCATAATAAAAGAAAACAGATATTAATATGAACATATATTATTATGATAACGTCCATTTTTTTAGATATATGTCAAACACTATTGTAAAAGGGGGAAAGAGATTGTTAGTAATACGGACTAATGGCTCCATAGCTAAACAAGTCCTGTCAGGTCGACTTCCACGCGGTTCCCCCTGTAAACCATTGTGATTAAATATTTCTTGCATTCGTCACGATGGGCTAACTGATCTGCTTTAATTATCATCTATCATCCCTCACTGGTGCCCCGCCGATGTACAACAATAGCCCAGGCAAAAGTTACCATTTTATTATTATCCATTAAAAAAAAACACTATTGTAAAGAGTATTAAGGTAAGTTCAAAATATACACCAAAGACACAATCGATTTTTTAAGTTAAAAAAGTAAGCTCTCTCTAAGGTACTAATCTCCGATATATATATTGAACAGCTCCATGGACATCACCAAATACACTAAGACGGCCACGATATCTTTCATGCGTTGCCATTTTTTTATTTGCCAACTACCTACCTAAACTAACCTATATTTCGTAACTATGTTTGCTGAATAGAATTAATGAAAACTCTTTATTACTTAAAAAAATCATACCAATTATATATATTAACAATATGCACACAAATGAAATTAATAATTAATTATATAAACTTAATAACTAAACTAACTTTAACTAAAGCAAGATAAGGAGGCAACAATGGACGGTCTTATCACTAAATAGCGACTTCTCTTCCAGGCGACCTCAGGATGGAAAGAATAATTAAAATTGTGCCTGGTCAAGGCGTAATAGAAAAATAATAAATCTAAAGAAAGGAGAAAAAGGGGCTAAGCATAAATTAATTATTCAAACGCAGTATAAAATTTTTAAATAATAATATATTTGCACATAATAATAATAACATACTTATAATATATCGTATTAGGTACTACGATGGAGATGATTTTCTTAAATCGTAAATTTTTTTTACTAGAATTAGTATATTAACATGAACATATATTTCTGCTTGTTTGCCATTTCAAAAAATTCCATAGTCTGTAAATTCACGTCTTCGCTTATGGAGTATCAGAGGAATAATAGTCTATTTATAGAATTGTATCTACAGCCTAGAATGTTATCTATAAATGTTTTGACTTTTCATCAGGGAAGGCTGTTAGGTTATATATGCGGTTCACTGAGGCACTATAAAGTCGCTGTATAAAGGTTTCATAAAGATTATTCATATTTGTCTATGTTTATTAGTAGATAAAATTTTCATACAACATTGATATAAATAAAAAAAAATTAATTCATATCAGAAACACTTCACAAATTTTATACTTCGTTCATAGTAAGTTTAAGCACAAACAGATTTTGCTTCGCAACAAGCTATAATTTGCTCTGCAAAAAATGCATGCAGGCATCATTCATGATAATCATAACATGGTGATTAAAATTAGAAATATCCCTTACAATTATAACCGTATTTAAAAGGGGGTGCTCACCCCAGAATGCGAGGAGACCTATTCCTTTCGCTATGCACAACTACATGTCTGAGGGTATGTAATACCTGAACCTTTTTAGAGGTTTTAATCTTAAAGAGATCAATGTTATTAATTGGAAAAATAATTATTTTTAGTCAGAACTTTCACAGATAGCGCGTAACATACTCATAAAAAAATATATAAACGAAAAGAGACCCTTCTCCTTTTAGATATGGCTTAAAAACAAAATAAAATGACCTTTTATCTTTGAACTCGTACAATTTTATTGACATTCAAATACTTTAACAAAGTTATAGCTTCTCTATGTAAATACTTAAATAGCCAGAAACCATTTCATATTGAAACAAAGGTAAGCGTTTCCCACTTGACAAAACGCGATAGGAGACGATTATTTGAATTCTGACAGCTGACTCACCTCGCCGAACAAATATTCAACTTTGCTTTGTTTTAACTCGAATCGTTAAGCTATACCCTTACACTAATAACCGCAAAGCTGCTTACAGGCATTAAAGTCTGTGGAAAACCCGCGTTTCATACGAAACTTACAGCAGTCACTGAAAACAAATGGCCATGGGCGGACGTATCGCGCGCTGCGTCCCTGAAGACTTCGTAACTTTACTTCAATATCAATAAATACGCACAAATGCAATAAAATGTATTCAGAACTTTAACGTGATCATTTTAAAAAACATTTTCAATTATTCTATGCGGGTTTGTGTGAAATTAAAACAATGATACGTAATGACATTCCAACCGAACGTGCTTATTCGGAATAAGAATTTGCCGTGAATGTGGAAAGCTAGACGTATATATACCTACCCCCGCCACTGAGGAGCTAACCTAATTTAAAGTTAGCAGGTAAGTTTTAGAGTAATTGTACTTAGGATCACCATACCTGCGTGACTCAATGAATTTTTAATTACTTTCAATGATAGAGTTATAAAAAATAGTTTATTTTTATGCTTACACCTTTAAAGTAAATTCAAGAGAACAATGAGAGGAAAGCAAATGTAGTAGTATAATTATAAACATTATACAGAGTTAATCGTAAATAATGTGGTATACCATCGAAAAACTATGAATAACAATATAACAATTTGCCCCAAAAACAATAGTCAAACGTAAAACCTCACATTTTTACACCCTCACGTAAAAAAATCAATCATGTGACTGCGTGGCCTTTATAGTGACATAAAAATAATTTCAAATTTCGAATTTGAGACAATTTCAAATGGAGGAATGTTTTTCCGACTTATTAATATTATTATTCGATTTTGTCTCGGTATATCCTTTATGACTAACCCTTTATACTCTTCTTAATATAACAATTATTACGAGTACAGTGTAAAAATATATTATTGTAGATATTATGGTAATATAGTAGGTACACGTATTTCTTGTTGAGACAAAACAAAGCATTATTAAAAATTTACTTGTATATCCCTTAGTGCCATTTGGTAAATAAGTTCGCGCCTTTTTTTACTATCATGACACAAATTTCCTATCCTATAGTATTTCAGGTTTCTAAAATTCTATTTATTGTAATTCAATTATTAAATACAGCTCAAAAGAGCTAATAAAATAAATAAATAAAAGTCAATTTACCAAAACAATTTAAATTAAAGATTAAATGTTTTTATAATCTAAATTCTTTTGGTAATACCTAATTTAAAACCAACCGATTGTCATTGATTTAGATAGAGTTTCCTAAATTAGATTATGAATTATTTTATTACGATATAAATAAAATATATACAACAAATGTGACAACAAAATAAGATAAAAAAAACTCAGTGAAGTTCGATAAATTGTAGATTTGCATCCTGATAACTAAAACTAAGGCGACTAACGGGAACTTAATGATCGAGGGATGGACAACAGCGTCGCTCTTCAAACGTTACCAAACTGTTGGTAATTACGGTTGCCAATTCGCCTACCAAGCATAGCATCTACTGGCAAACCCCCCATTTTGAGGGAGGCTTATGTTCATCAGTGAGCAGTCGATGACTGATATGATGATGATTATGATATAGTTACAAGATCATCTAACTAAATATTAAATACAATAACTTTTAAAAGTTTAATAGTCCCGTTCAGTTGCATTCATGATTCAAATTAAATAATATTAATCTCGAATGCAAATAATAAAGCGCAGTTTTGGACAACTGAAATTAGTGGGTCATTGTTTGCTCTACCACGTTTGATGATTTGCCCGTACCTAGTTAATATTGTTGACCAACATTTCTTACAGACAGATATTGAAACGTTATCTGTCTTCTAACGTAGCAGACTGCGAACATACCGTCATTTCTCGGATTAATATTGTAGATGGAGTGACGACGTAAAATGCATTGAAAGGAATCAGTGGATACAAATGGCACAGGACTGTTTCTTGTGGCAGTCTATGGGGACGCCTATGTTCAGCAGCGGACAGATGTCTGAGACTATGATAACACACTTTATTCTGATTCTTTATTAATTTTTTTATTACCTTCTTTCTCTCTCTCTCTCTCTTTAGGTACTTATAATTTTGTAATTACGATATTGACAGGATTCCTCGTATTAAAGCCACATTTATTTTCAATATTTTATTTATCCCAATTTCCTGATTTCATCGAATCAAAAATGTTATTAAAAGACCTTTCTCAGTACCTCATATATATTCAAAACCTTTAAATTTCTGCCATGAATAGATTCCTCATTTAATTTAAAATTTTATTTAAAAAAAAAATATATTTTTCCACGGACGTTAGAAACTTTTACTGCATTCTGCTTTCTGACAATCAAACGGGAACCACCGTGAGCAAATATTTGACGCGCTCAACTCTTTGTGAATCAAACTTTCAAAGAGAAAACTAAATGTGAATACGCTTCCTATTTATATGGAATTTTAATTTAAATGCGTTAATTGTAATTTACATAACTAGGAAAATTTAAATTTATAAATATTTAATATATAAATTTACAGTACATACACTTAAACTATCATAATTAGATAACTTCTGTAGTGAATTATACTTCATAATTTTTCTTTTTTTCTTCTTTGTGTATGTCTATCTATATCTATTGTAATTTGCTAAAGTGATTTAAATAAATTATATATTTATCTGTCTATCTATTTGTGTAAAAATTTGGTAATAATTTTTTTTTTTATTTCCACTTTGTATCACGTATGTCGTTAGCTTATTCTAGTTAAATGAGGCCACACATGGAATACTGTTCTCACCTGTGGGCAGGAGCGCCACAGTACCAACTCCTTCCGTTAGACCGCATTCAAAGTCGGGCAGCTCGAATTGTTGACGATCGGCGTCTTACTGTCTGGCTCGACCCACTGAAACTGCGTAGAGATGTTGCATCTCTGTGCATTTTCTACCGAATTTATCATGGGGAGTGCTCTGAAGAATTGTTCGGATTGATACCTGCTGCAGATTTTCACCATCGTACAACCCGCCATAAACTAAAATTTCATCCCAACCATCTGGACAAGTGGCGGTCCTCCACCGTGCGTTTTTCAAGGCACTTTCTCCCACGCACAACCACTCTTTGGAATCAACTTCCAGCAGCAGTATTTCCGAACCGATACGACAACATAACCTTCAAGAAAAGAGCATATTCCTTTTTAAAAGGCCGGCAGCACACCTGCAATGCCGTAGGTGTTGTGGGTGACCATGGGCGGCGGTAGTCACTTACCATCAGGTGAGCCGCATGCTCGTTTGCCCCTGTGTTGTAAAAAAAAAAAGATACTAAATATTTTTATTTATAATTAAAAATTGTGTCCCACTGTTCAAGATTAGACATTATAGTTGTTTTAATAAAAGTTAAATTTTTCGCACTTGCAATATTAGAACCATAGATATAGACCGTTTAACCGCTAGAAGGTCAAACATTCAAATTTTGTTAACGGATAGAACTACACGCACTTTTGTATTTATTTTTAATTTATTATAAAACTTGAGGCACGGACAAGCATTTCATTTCAACCAAGAGCTTCTCACCTTCAAGCGCAAACATACGTGTTTTGGTCCTTCGAGCCGGATAATAATACGAAAAGTACGAGTCAGCGACCATTGGACTCATCGTATGCCAATTCATCGCACAAATTTTGGACTACGAGAAGTGAGAAGACATTTAGTAAGGATCGAGGTTAAGGCGTCGGAGGAGCAGCAGCAGACAGCAATCGTCCATAAGCGCATTCCGGAGCGGTCTGCCATCCTCCCTAACCCCATCTCCTTCGCTTCAATTGTGTCACACCGTGCCTTTAGTCACGTTACAGTTCTTGTGTTTAGCAATAAGAAGCAGCTTTGTGTCGCAGCTAGCACAGGCTGATCTTACAGACCAAGAATCAAACGTAAGTACCTTCATAATTTGCCAAAATGAGTATAAATGAGGCTAGTGTTAAAATAAATCGTGAAAGATCCCCTAATAGGCTAGTCGCTAATAATGAAAACGATAATGAATTGCTAAAGGATCTAGTCAAGACGCGTGGCATATTAAAAAGCAGGCTTACTAAATTTTCTAATGCCGTTAGTGATATTACCCTCGAACAATTAACTAATCAAAAATGCGCCGATGTAAAATTACGCATGCAAGGTGTTACGAGCTTATTTACAGAGTTTAGCGATGTTCAAACAAAAATTGAAAAAATTGTACGAGATTCAGATTTAGATTCACAGCTGACGCAACGAGAATTGTTTGAAGATTGCTATTATCATGCACTAGCTCAAGCTGAATGTTTGCTCAAATCGGTAGAGGTCACTAGCGCGTCCAGTAAGGGCAGTAATAGAGCGTCACAGTCTATAAAACTTCCGACCATCTCCCTACCTGTATATGATGGAACGTATGAGCATTGGATCGAATACAGAGACATTTTTCTATCTCTAGTACACAATTCCGATGAAATTAGCGATATACAGAAATTCCACTACCTAAAATCGTCACTAAAGGGAAGCGCGGAGTTAGTTATCGATTCCTTAGAATTCTCTGCTAGTAACTATGTGGTAGCATGGGAACTACTTCTCAACAGATACAACAATAGCAGTCTGTTGGTGCATAACCACGTTAAGGCCTTATTCACTATTCAAAAACTTTCTAAGGAATCACCACATGCACTCAGAAAACTGACAGATATTATTCTTAGAAATTTACGCGCATTAAAAATATTAGGTGAGCCTACTGAGTACTGGGATACGTTAATTATATTTATTATAACGTCTAAGTTAGATGAAACCACCGAACGTGAATGGGAACAATTTAAATGCACCACACGAAAATATATTAATGATAATTCTTCACTGAAGGTAGATGATTTACTTATGTTCCTCAGAGACAGGGCTGACATGTTGGAAACATTGCTAGTTTCACACAGGGTTAACAGTGACGTTAAAACTCAAAACGCGACTTCACAACAATCGTCATATTATCCGTCACATAAAAAATCACAACATAAAGTGCACTGCAATGTTTCCACCAATAAGTCACAGCAAGGTCGAATCACGTCTACTAAGAAATCGTGTTTAATGTGTAACGCCGATCATCCACTTTATTCATGTCAAACATTTTTGGACACTAACTTAGACGCTAAACTGCAATTTATAACCGCAAATAAATTATGTGAGAACTGTTTACGTCCAGGGCATTCAGTTAGTATGTGCAAATTTGGACCTTGCAGACTGTGTTTTAAAAAACACAACACGCTTATTCATAATAACGTGACTGATCGAGTAGCGGTCGTATCAATGCATCTAGCCGACAACGAAACCCCGGGTTCTAGTCAAATGACCCCCGCGACCGTCGCACCGCCCGCGCAGTCCATCCCCGCGCAAATTCATTCGTCTCGAGTAAACAGTACACACATAGATAATTTTAATTTAATTCACAAACAATCTACTATGCGACCCGTTTTATTGTTTACAGCTATAGTCGAGATAGCCGATAGGTACAATAAGTTTCACTTAGCACGCGCGCTTCTCGACTGTGGTAGTCAACATTGTTTTATTTCTAAACCACTATGCGATTTAATTAATATAAATTTAATACAGTCCACTTGCGAAATTCGAGGTGTCGGCAACACAGTAACAACGTCATCACAGATATGTGATATCGAGATCAAATCACGCATTGACAATTACTCCGCACGCATTAAATGTTTTGTGTTGCCGCACATTACATCTACGCTATCTACTGCTATGTATAGTCAACGCGCGCAGTCTTTTATGATACCTGACTATATACAGCTGGCTGATCCACAATATTATGAATCTCAAAATATTGATATTTTAATAGGCGCAGACTTATTTTGGGACTTATTATGCGAGGGTAAAATGAGATTACCCAATGGACCCTTTTTACAAAATACAAGGTTAGGTTGGATTATTTCAGGGCCTATTGAGTTTAACACGCACAATATCAATACGTCTGTCCAATGTAACTTCACTCAATCTATTGACACTCAGTTACGACGGTTTTGGGAGTTAGAAGAGGTGCCTAAAACTAGTGACATACAGACTGACGAAGAACGCTCTTGTGAGGAAGCTTTCATTCGTACTACCACGCGCAATAGTGACGGAAGGTTTTGCGTCAGCTTGCCACTGAAACAGTCGCCATCTGTTTTGGGTGAATCTTTGTCACAAGCTGAACGTCGTTTTTTGGCACTAGAGAGGCGATTAGAACGTAATTCTAACTATAAAAAATTATATATTGAATTTATACACGAATACATCGAATTAGGTCATATGACGCGAGTAACTTCATATGGAACCCCACACTATTTTTTACCTCATCACGGCGTGTATCGTGAGCACAGCAGCACAACAAAACTTCGCGTGGTGTTCGATGCAAGTGCCGCCACAAGTAGTGGAGTGTCTTTAAATGACATTCAACAAGTCGGACCTCCCTTGCAGCGTGATTTAGTTGACATCCTGCTTCGTTTCAGACAACATAGATACACTGCTTGTGCAGACGTCGAAAAGATGTACAGGCAGTGTCTCTTAAACGAATTACAACGCGATCTCCAGTTGATTGTGTGGCGTGACAACCCATCTGAACCGTTAGGTATTTACCGACTGAATACGGTAACGTATGGGACAGCCTCCGCACCGTTTCTTAGTGTTAGGTGTCTAAAGCAGCTGGCACTCGAATGTAAGGACTCAGCCGTCCAACAAATAATTTTAAATGATTTTTATGTAGATGATATGATTACAGGTTCAGATGACAAGCAGGAGTTGCTTGTACTCTGTAAGAAGGTCACAGATGTCTTAAGTTCTGGAGGATTTCACTTAAGAAAATGGATATTTAATTTTAAATGTGATGAATTGTTGGTTCATCAAATTCCAAATAATAACGCATCACAGGAATTAACATTAGGAGAAAATGTTCAGTGCAAGACATTAGGTCTTGGATGGTACTATGCATCAGACGAGTTTTATTTTAATACTCAAGTTAAAGTTGATACGTACAAGATTAGTAAACGAACCATTTTATCGCACGTTTCTCAAATATTTGATCCATTGGGATTATTAAGTCCGACCATTATAATAGCCAAAGTTTTATTGCAAAAACTATGGTTATTACAACTAGGATGGGATGATGAGGTACCGCGAGACGTGTTGCGCGCATGGACCGTATTTGTAAAGGGCTTATCAATGCTTAATACCATCCGCATACCCCGTCATGTTATAGCTAACGAAGCGATATGTACAGAGCTACACATCTTTACCGATGCATCGCAGACTGCGTACGGCGCTTGCATCTACGTTCGAACAGTAACTAATAACGGACTTGTATCGGTAAAATTGTTATGTTCAAAGGGTAAGGTTGCACCTTTAAAACCTGTCAGTATCCCGCGACTAGAATTATGCGGAGCTTTACTTGGGGCTCGACTTTATGATAAAGTAATTAACTCACTTCGTCGTCATTTTGATAACATCATGTTTTGGACTGACTCGACCATAGTACTAGGATGGTTACACATGTCGCCTAATTTACAAAAAACTTTTGTACAAAATAGAACGGCAGAAATACATGAGTTGGCGAAGGAACTTCCATGGCGTCATGTCAGTGGGAAGGAAAACCCAGCTGATCTGGTCTCGCGCGGTGTTCAGATGGAGGACCTTTCATCTTCTACTTTATGGTGGGAAGGCCCATCTTTTCTTCGTCACACTAACTTCAGTTGCAATAATGTACCGTTAAATTCATTTGACTCTCAGCAACTATTGCCTGAGCTGAAATCCATTGTGACACATTCCTACGCTACTGATCAAGACTGCGAACGTACATTATTTCCATTTGTTAGATTTTCTCAATATAGTCGCATGAGACGAACTGTCGCATATATACAACGTTTTATCCATAATACGCGCAATAAAAATACTCAACGGTCAGGTACTCTCACTGTCGATGAATTGAGGGAATCTGATATAACTTTGGCTCGACTGTCTCAACTAGAATCGTTTCCAGATGAGTATAGGTTACTCACAAATAATAGTACTCTAGTTAATAAGCATAATTTGTCTAAATTAAATTTATTTATTGATAAAAATAAACTAATTCGTGTTGGTGGTCGGATTGTAAATTCTCCCGACTTTAATTTTGATAAAAACCATCGATTTTAATTTCATCTAAACATATTTTCTCCCTACTACTATTCAGACACGAACACAAGCAGTTGTTGCACGCAGCTCCACAGGCGCTTCTTTATAACTTACGTGAAACGTGGTGGCCAATTGGCGGTAGAAACTTAGCAAGGAAGGTTGTTTATGATTGCATTATTTGTAAACGCTTGAGAGGTATGACCCCTACTCCCCTTATGGGAGATTTACCAAAGGAACGCTTAACTTCGGGCTTTCCTTTTATGCGTTCTGGGGTGGACTACGCCGGACCAATGCTCATACTTAATCGTAAGGGTAAAGGTGCTAGGACGACAAAATGCTATGTGTGCTTATTTATTTGTTTTGTAACGCGCGCTGTACATTTAGAACTCGTCAGTGACTTGTCAACAGATGCATATTTATTAGCGTTAAAGAGATTTATATCTAGGCGTGGCAAACCATGTGAGATTTTTTCTGATAATGGTAGAAATTTTGTTGGATTGATGAATGACTTTAAACATTTTTTAGCTAATTGTTCGTCACAGATTATAGAATATGCCACGGCTCAGAATATTCAATTCACATTCATACCGCCTTATGCGCCTCATTTTGGCGGATTATGGGAAGCTGGAATTCGGTCCTGTAAGAATATTTTACGTCGTATAGTAGGAAACGCGCACTTAACCTACGAGGAGTTCAGTACAGTGTTGACACAAATTGAAGCGGTCCTGAACTCCCGTCCTTTAAGCCCTATGTCCTCAGATCCACAAGATTTGTCGCCTCTTAGTCCAGGCCATTTTCTGGTGGGACGTCCACTTACTGCACCTGCTAGTGATGACTTCACTGAGACGCCTGTTCATCGACTGACACGTTATCAACGAGTTGAGCAGATTCGACAGCAATTTTGGTCCCGTTGGGCGAAGGAATACGTGTCAGAACTTCAAATAAGGACTAAAGGAAGGAAGAACACACTTGAACTGCAGCCTGATATGCTAGTAGTTATTAAGGACGACAACCTACCGCCGCTAAAATGGCATCTCGGTCGAATAGTGAAGATCTTCCCTGGCAAAGACGGCATCACTAGAGTAGCCGATATTCGCACATCGTCAGGTGTCGTGAGACGCGCTTACAGCAAGATATGTCCCTTACTTGATGACTAATTCTAGTTTTGAAGTTTTAAAATTGAAAGCTGAAGCTTTCAAGGCCGGGGGCATGTTCAAGATTAGACACCCACAAAAAACCAACTTTAATTGTCACAAAACCTTTAGTCTGAAAATTAAACTATTGGACAGATGCCGATACAATTTCTATAGGACTCTTCTGTAAATATATGTTTTCAGAAAAAAAATCCTATATCGGAAAAGTTAGTTTAAGTCTGAGTTACGAGTTTACGTCTGACGTAACAAACATAAAAAATGGGCAAACGCAGTGTAGAACGACTCCCCACTAGGTAGAATGACGACGTGAAATGCATTACAGGGTGTCAGTGGATGCAGGTGGCTCAGGACCGTTCCTTATGGCAATCTATGGGGGAGGTTTATGTCCAGCACTGGACGGATAATGGCTGAAATGATGATGATAAAACATAAAAAAATACAACCGAATTGAAACGTCCTTCTTTTTGAAATCGGTTGATATAAGACAAATACTTAAAAAAGAATCCATTGTAAATATTAATTCAAGATTTGTTCCCTAATTTTTAATGCTTAGAATGGAATATTTTCTACTGGCATAAATAAAATAAATCTCTGTAGCAATTCCATTTTCAACGAAAAATAGCATTGTCAAAAGTTGATTAGTTTATCGTCATAAAAGGTATGCGTGCCTATTATACTTGCGTGAACATAAAAATATACGTCACCACACTTGAAAAATTTATTTTTTAATTTACCACTACTTTCTTCGTGGATAGATATTAATTGTGAGTAAAACAAAAATTTTTACACTCATTTTTTATGTCATCTATTGTAATATCAAGTATAATCAATTTCTATTTAAAAAATAGATGGTTTTAAAAAGGAGTGATTTTTAAACCTGTTTATATGTTGATCCATATTTCGATTTTTATGTCAATATACAAATAGACAAACATACATACAGAAAAAAAATTAAAACTATAGTTTTCAATTCAATATCACATATACTATAGTATATGTGTAGTATATATGTATAGTATAATACTATAGCATATAAGTATAATATATACATAAACTTAATTTTTTTAAAATATTATTTTATATTATAAGTCGTTACAAATACATTATACATAAATATATTTACAGATATGATAAATATGTACAATATATTATCATATTATGCGTTAACTGTCCCCTGCTGAACATGAGCCTCCCCATAAGAAAGTTTTGACAGTAGTTGCCATATTTGGCGGGCAGATTGGCAACAACAAATAGGCTTTGATGATATTTCAAGAGCGACGCTGCTACCCATCCCTCGACCATTTAATTCCTTTAATCACTTCTCACGACACCCACGGAAAAGAAAGATGTGGCCCGTTCTATACTGGAACCACACATCGATTATGTATACGTTACAATTAATACCCTTTTTAGCTATAATTTATTTAGTTAAAAATAGTTTTTATTAATTGACTTTGTTAGAACTAGTATTTCCTAGTTAAAACTAAAATTTACTGCTAACTTTGAACATTAATTATAACTAATATTATAAACTTTTTTTAGGAAAATGACTAAAGATAATATAAATTGTTTTATAAAGTATCCCTCGATCAAATTGTTTAACTAAATAAATTCTAAAACGCGTTTTCTATATATATCGGAAGGACATTTCTACACAGTAACATATTATATTTATTTTGTATTTATATCATATATATGTTTATTTCCATCTTATATATTTGAAAACTTATCGGTCCCCATAGAATTCTCCATATCAAGAGTCACGTATTTTATAAAAGATCTTTGACTTGGGTAGTCGTCTGTCACAATGTGTCAAAACAACCATTATTCACCCTACATTATGCCTGTGCGTAAGTAGGAAGTTCATATTATGTGGAAAATATACTGAAAGATATTCAATAAATTTAATTAGTCTAAAGAACATTATCTATAATCCACAATTTGACTATAAATAAGGAGTTAAAGTTTCAAAGATAGGTAGAGCCTATCTCTGTAACTTTAGACATCGCCTGCGTAACTTTATAGGCTAAAATTATTTCAACGTCCATAGATGGCGTTCGCCCAAAAGTGATTAAAAAATTTATCAACTGATTCAACAGTATTCCTTCCCTGATATAACGGAGAATACATTCTGCTGAGATTGCTGGTATGAATCCCGTTTAATTTAAATAAATAAAGTTATTATCAGCTTATTTTCATTCATTAATAATTAATTCAATAAATTAAGTTACACACTGTCTACATTTTAATTTACATACACGTCATTCTTTAGTCATTTTAAGACCACGATCAGAACCATGTCAATTAAAAAAAAAATAACTTTTCTATAAAATCCTTATAACCAGTTCATTGAATAAGAAATTTATACATTGTAAAATAGCCAATCCGTTTATTATATATATTGATATTGACATTATATATATTTGAAATAATATTCAAAGTGTTGTTTGCACAGCACTTTGAATATTTTTATATTTTATTATGTTGTTTCTTCTAAATGGTTGCATAGATTCATTTTTCAGTTTTTACGTACAAGATCAATAGCGATTCTTAACATAATCTATTACTACTTAAAAATGGCATCCTTTTGTAGTCACTGTCTTCATTATGCTAATTAAACACATATATTATTATTTATTATCTTAATCACCTCTTATGAAATGACATAATTACGTGTCTAATTCTCATCATGAAATAGCAACAAATAAAAAACCAAATGTAACACAAAACCCTCGCTAATGGTGTACAGACCGAATTTCACTCTCATTTCATATTAATCAATATTTTGTACTCGTAATTCGTGCCTGCCTAACGTGGACGGGGGTGCCTGGTACTTCTTAATAACGCCTTTGCATGTTTACAATAATCCAACTTATAGAAGCGAAACTAATTAAGTGTTTATTGCTTAGGGATTTCGATAAGATAGACATACAGACAAACCTATATGTTACTAGCTACTCATATATCCCTTACACTTTACTCACGTGAATCAGATTGTAAAATGTCCTTTAAGTTAGGATACTTAGCCGCGAACCAAATTTCAATCAAAACCGCTTAACCGTTTAAACGTAATTGAGTAACAATTATCTTTATATACTTACTATCAAATTTATAACATTAGTAAGTTTATGGATTAACATGGAATATGTTTTTTATTCAAATTCAGGCAAAAAAAACCGTATGATTTCGTACTGATTATATTTGCGTGAATTTAGCTAGCCTAGTAGTAATTTAGATCTTGATCGTAGCTTTCGAATTGAAAAAATATAAAAAAATAGAGACCACAATGTTAACAACGTAAGCACGACAATGATCAACGTGATATTTCGAGAATATCAAGTAAAGATTAAAAAATGTAACATTTTGATTTGAAAATTTGAATTTAGAACACAGTATTGTGTATAAAATATAAAATTGTTTATTGCCAAGCAAAATTTATTGTTAGATTAACTATAAATAAATTTTGCTTGGCAATAAACAATTTTATCATTCATAAATATAAACAGCATCATCGATCATCACAAATTTAACACTATCGATAAAATACTCTACGAGTATCTATTAAAGATATCCCAGATCAGGCCGATCTTATAAATTCGAATTAAGAACAATTTTTACTATTATAATATAAAATATACATATTGTACATATTGTTCAAATGAATATATGTACATACATATAATGATTAAAAACGCTACCATTTTCAATTATTTAAAAAAAAAACATATTTTATGTCTATACTCATTTACAGTCATAAATCAAATTATTCAGGCAAGAAAAAGATGCTTGATCATTACGAATCATTATACACTGTTAAACTTGTACTTTCAAATATATTCGTAAGAATTCTATACTTTTTATTTTTCA